GGCGCCGGCTCGGGGCTGGTGGGACGGGGACCGCAGCGGAGGGGGAGCTGGTTACCGTGCTGGCCTGCGACAGCTCCACGCGGATGTTGATAAGCTGGTTCTGGAGCGATTCCTTCTTGTGCAGCAGCTTCTCTGGGTAGGCTGGCTGGCTCCCAAACATCTCCAGCTCCTGGTGTGTCCCCATGCGGGCACTCTCCAGGCTCTCCTGGAGGGGGACAGGAGGGAGATGCAGCCGTGAAAGCCCGGCTGGTGCAGGAGCTGCAGTCCCTCTCCTTAACAGGCCATTAACACGGCGAGTCCTGGGACCACGGCATGGCCAGGGCATCTCCAGCTCAGAAACACCCCCGCTGAGCTGTGCCCAAGACAGCAGGACGTCGCTTCCTCACCACGAAGGTGCTGCCTGGGCACAGCCATGGCCATGCAGCCAGGTTCATCCCCGGACGGCTGCTTGAGCTGCCCACCACGTACCTTCTCTGCTGGGCGCTGCCGCCCCAGCCTCTCCTGCTCCCGCAGCACCTTGTTCTGCTCACAGAGCTTCCCCAGCAGCTTCTGTCCCCGGGAGGGAAAGCGAAAGGGAAAGAGAAAGGGAGGAGAGGATGAGAGCCCAGCGATGGGGCGCGCAGGGTGCACCCGTGCAAACGGCTCTGTGCTCAGCCAGGAGAGACGGGATGCAGCCGGGACGCAGTCGGGACATGGCCCACAGGGTTGGTTTGATGGGACAACACGTGGTCCTGGGGAGGGTTTCCAGCCCGCTGCTCTCATTGCAGGGACCTCAGCCCTGGCCAGGGTGACACGGGTCAAATCTGGACATGGGGCAGGACCAATCAGCTAAGCTCAGTGGAGGATTTAGTCCCGGAGCAGCACACACCACACTTGGGGCAGCACCAGGTCCCACCCCGGCTGTGCAGGAGCACTTGGCACAACTCTCTCTATGGAGATAGCAGACCTGCTGTGGGGGACAGGGACAACAGCACGGGGCAGAGGGGGGACACGCAGGATGGACGTTTGCTCTTACGTCGGTGTCTTGCTCGCTTATCTTGTAGGCGTGCAGTGTCTCCCTGTAGGCCTCCGGGAAGGGCGTCACCTGCAAGCAGAGTGTGGGGTAAGCCCGACTCCGGGAGCCCCTGGGGAAGGTGAGGCAGCTCCCAGCCCCTCTCCTCCAGCCCCGTGAGC